CCTTTCGAAATAAAAACAGTTTCGATCGTTCATTAGTCAAATAAAACAGCAACGAGTTGCTCAACTTTCTCGGCAACATTTAAAATTTCGGTGGAGCCATCTGTTATAATATTTCCTTAAAAAGTATTTTTATACTTTTCACTATTATAAAATGACTAAAGCTTAATTTTGAGGGTAGGGATGAGTTTTATATAAAAAAAAAATTGAATATGCTAGTAACGACTAAAATCGTTTTTTAATCCGATTCTACTGGAGATAAACACGGCCCTCATTATAAACCCACTCCGTCAATTTTTAATTACTATAATTTATAGTCGTCAATCCTCCTAAAAACAAATCATCCTGCAAAATATCAGAAATTTTCGACAAAAAGCTAAGGAGTTATAAAGCTTCAAACAGGATGAAAAAAATTGTGCCACAACACACACACACACACACACACACACACACACACACACACACGGAAATTATCTTGAAAAGTTTTTTGCATTTTTAAACGTTTCAATGTTCCCCAGTGCCAAAAATGTAAAAAAAAAACTTGAAGGTAAGTTTTGACCGATTATATACGACCCTCAGTTATATTTAACAGCCAAACAAGTAAGAACAATTGATACTCAAACAAAAACATTTCAGATGTAAAAAATTGAGCCAAGTAAAAGCTTATTACAATTTAGACGACAACTTCTTTATATCTTAAATGTTTTTGTGTGGATAGAAACATAAGTTATTATACATTTTCGGAGTTAGCAAATTCAATAAAACTAAAATAATTTACATTTATTGTTTATAATATGGAGAGTAAAAAAATCTTAAATATTTTGCTATGAGTACAACATAATATTTTAAATAGAAACGATAAAAGTTTTTTTCTAAAGTTATAAAGAACTAAAACTCACTTTTCGTTTAACTCTAAACGAAGAAACAGTGATACCCGGACAAAAAAAAAAAAAAACAGCAACAAAGAAATTAGATGAATACTTTCAGATTTGTTATTTTCTAAGTGTTTCTGAAAATATAACTAAAAAGTTCGGTAGAATTTATATATTAATAATAATCATCTTCCAATAATTATAGTTATAGAACATGGAATTTTATATTCCTTGAGGAATATAAAGTTTCATGTTTCGAGAGGAATATAAAATTTCATATTTTGTGTGGAATATTTTATCAGATATTCCACACAAAATATGACAATAAATCAAACTTTACTTTTAAACATAACAACCAATATATGTATTTAAACTATTAAATAGTTTTGGTTTTTTTCTGGCTAGCATATAGAATTTCGTTTTTTTTTCCTCTATACAGTGGAACCAGGGTTCACGAATTTAAACCGTTCCGCGAATCCGTTCGTTAACCGAAGCAATTTTTTCCATAGAAATTAATGCAAATAACCCCATAAAAATATCGGATAGCACATGAAATTCTTTGAGTCGCGATCTCTTTTCATAAGGAAAAAGAAAGAGATCTAAAGTTGATTATCTTACTCTTTTAATCAAAATATTTTTAAATGCGATAGTGCAGTGTCGTTCATTAAATTATTGACTCTATTTGCCACAACTTCTCGATAAATTCCTGCACGTCATTCCATTTTCTGCAAATTTTTTTGATCTCAACACTGGTGATTTATTCCCTAGCTCTTCCTCTGACAAATGCTCTTTTCGTAAAATTTTCATCTGTTCTTCCTGTATGGCAACCAATTCTTCTGTCGTTAATTCATGTTGATAGTCTTTCAGCAACGTCTCCACGTCTGCGACATCTACCTCCACTCCCAACTCTTGCTAATGGAAACGATTTCATGAACTACATCAGAAGAGCTCTCTTCAAATTCCTCAAAGTTTCGCTCTGGGACACAAGTTGGCCAGGTTCCTCCAGGCCAATTGCAAAGTGCGGTGAGAGACCTCACTCCACGCTTTGTCAATAAGGTTGATACAATGCAGGATGTTAAAATGCTCTTTCAAAAAAGCTATAAGAGTTAAGTCGGTATCACTGGTAACCTGAAAACACCTGGTAAACGAAGATTTGGTATACAGCTTTTTAAAATTGGAAATCACTTGCTAATCCATTGGTTGCAGTAATGGAGTTGTGTCGGGTGGAAGGAATTTGACCTTGATAAAGTCATGTTCACTATCCAAGACTTCCTTCAAATATGGTGGATGTGTTGGAGAATTATTCTTTAAGAGAAGATATCTAAGAGGAAGGTCCATTTCCTGAAGATAATTTTTAAGAGTAGGAGCAAACACTTCTGGGATCCAATTTACGAATAAAGTCCGAGTTGCCAATGCCTTGCTATTTGCCTTCCATTGTGCAGGCAGTTTGGACTTTATCACATTTTTGCTCTTAATTAGAAACACGGGAACTTTCAGTATTGTAGACTAAAAGTCGCTTGATTTAGAAGTCACACTTGCATTAGCGCAAAATAAAACAGTGAGTCTGTCCTTCATGTACTTGTGCCCGAGAAGCGCTTTCTCTTCTTGGGTTATGTACGTTCCTCAAGATATTCTTTTCAAGAATAGACCGGCCTCGTCGCAATTAAACACTTGATTTGACACGTATCCTTCACGATTACAAACTCTGCAAATTCACCTACAATTGCTTTTGCTGCTTTTTCAGTTGAACTTGAAGCCTCCCCATGCCTTATGATACTGAATGCCAGTTCGTCGATAAAAAAAAAACCTATGAAACCACCCTCGGCTCGCTTTAAAGTCCTGCCTGTCTGCACTTGCACTGGGTTCATGGGTCAACAGGTCATTGTATAAAATTTTAGCCTTTTCACAAATTATAGCTTCACTAACACTGTCTTCAGCAAGTTGGTTTTCATTGATCCATATTAGCAACAGTTTTTCAACTTTATCTAAAGCTTTATATCTTTGTTTTAATATCACATTCACTCCTTTAGCCACTTCGGCAGCCTTAATTGCTTTTTGTTGTTAATAATTGTAGAGATAGTCGATTTTGTTACATTTTATTCTTTAGCGATGTCAGAAACACGAATGCCATTCTCGTATTTTGCAGTAATTTCTTTTTTTAATGCTACACTAAAACATATTCTATTGCCACTATCACTTTTCTCTTTTTTCAGTGCCATATTGATTAATTATATAAATAACAAAACTAAAAAAAGAAGTTTAGCACACTCGAAAAAGCAATGCTTACCTCGCACACGCCTAACAGAAACCGAAATTTGTGAGATTCCAGAACGGCTGAAAACTGTAATTTAATATTTACGTGTTAAAAGCGAAAACACTATTGTTTAGTCGGACCAAGTTCATGTTAGTTATGTAAGGGAGAGGTAAGGAAAAAAACTGTAGTTGTCAAAACAAATGCGACGTGAAAACGAATGACGTAACGGATCAGGTGGATCAGGTGGAATGTCCGCAAGGAAGATAGAACTCTGACAGAAGAGCGTATAAACAGTCGATCTAGGTTAAATTTTCAGAAAAGGGGAAAGTTTTGACAGGTATAAAAACATCTCGTACGATCGTTAAAGTACTAAAATGACAGATAGCAGAAACAATGGGCTAAATTATCAGCGCAAGGCTTATATGTTTATCAACAATCTCCGATCAGAGTCGACGAACAGGTGTCAAATAAACGCCTGGGAACAAATTTTTCTCGTGACCTGATCTGATTTCGGTTTTCAACTGGAGACAAACAATCGGGAAGCAAGGGATGGGATGCAGGACTAATCCTAAGATGAGATTCAAGGAAGAAATACTATAAAAACCACAAATCTCACGGTCAAAAAGGTCAAAACGCAGTTCTGCTAAAAATTGTACTGCGATTAATCTGTCTCGTCATCATCTGAATTAAGCCTGAAGTCGTTCCCGTTAAAATTTGTGTTGTGTCTCGTGGACCTCTTCAGTCTCCGAAGCTCCATCACCTACCATAGCTTCTGTGACTGAGTGAACCCATCTCGTCTGCCCGGGGCTACGATTAATCATCTTGCACTATCGTAGGATCTGCGATACGACGCTCCTCAGTGCGGGGGGAAAATATTGTAGATAAACCATTTCCAACCAACTCAAATTTGTAATATCTTCCCGTTCTAACAAACGATTTTCACTGTAAAATACTTCTCATCTTTGTCTCCTCCACCATTACCACCAACGTACGAATGGACCCTAGACCATCACCGACGCGCAATTAACTTATTTCTGCATAAAAGACGGCAAGCTTACAAAATTGACACAAAAAACCGCTAAGTTCGTTATCCGAATTTCGTCCGTTATCCGAGACAAAATTTTTGTAAAATAAAAGTTCGTTAACTGATTTGGTCGTTAACTGGAGTTCCACTATATTTGATATTTATTTGCATTAAGTTTATGTTTCATATTTTTCACATATTGTAATAAAAATAAATAAAAACAGTATTGCATAGTTATCACGAATAATCAATTATAAGTTACATTATATACAACAACAGAAGGAAATGCTATTGTTATCTTAATTGTTATAAGTGTTAGTTCTTTTAGTTTATCTTAATGGATGTTTTATGTCGTGAAACACGTAACGTGTTTCATTTGACGACATAAAACATCCATTAAGATAAACTAAAAGAACTAACACTTATCATCAAAAGATATCACTTGAATAATAAATTTATATTAACTATTTTGCAAGTGATAAAAACATAACAGTAAATGACAAATTACAAATTTATGATAAATTATGCAACAAAGAAAATGTCTTTAATTACTAACGTTATCAGCCTATAGAAAATGGCTATAACGTGCTCAGCGGAGATAATAAATTTGTAATTTATTCTCTACTGAGCACGTTCCAAGTGCAGTAGTAAATGTTAACAAATAGTAATACATAAAAACAACTTAATTAATAAAAATAATATAATAAATCATGAAATTACTATTTATATTTGAAATTTTGTAACTGCACATTGCCTTGATTATCATATTAGTAAACAGTTAAGAGCAACTATATTTATATCGAGTTACTACTAAAATAATGTTTAACTTTATAATGAATCTTCAATCAGTTACCTGAGAAGTAAAACAAAGCTGTTGTATTTTCTTCACAATCCACCTTGTGTTCAATTCAGTAGTACTTGTAGGCCTATACATAACAAAATGACGTATTAATTATGGATTAAAAATAAAATCGATAGAGTTGACATTTACTTAGTTATTAGCATAAAAACTTTTTAAATAGTAGAAAATTTTGTTTCATTATCACGCAATCGAGTTCCAAGAATTTAGTTTAATCAGTATTCCTATGGAATCTGGGTTACATGGCAAGTTTTTTCGTTTATTTTTAAATATATTTAATTAGTTAAAAAATCCGTTTGTCGGTCCGATAAAAATTTATTAAGTAGCTTTATACAATGTTTCGAGTTTTATGTGTTTAAAAATAACACAGATGTTTAGTATTTATATAATATATAATTCGATTTAAATCTATAAAGTATTTTTTTCAGTTCTTTAAAACATTATTTATTTGTTTAAAATAATTTTAGCATGGATAATTAAAAATAATAAATTTTAAAAACATTTTTTAAATGACACTACTGCATTATTGTCAACAGACTTCAAGGATAATTGCTTTAAAATATAATAGAAAACGTAAATAATTTATTTATATGTCCTGAAGGTGGGATAAATCAAGGTAACCTTGATGTCTTTTTTATTTATGGTGTTATTAATAACTTTTTTCCCTCCTTATAAGCCAAATACACTTCACTAATTAATAAGTTATATGTTTCGGCTATTTTTCACTTTTCTTTGTAAAAAATATATTTATACATAGAGAAATCATTGCCGAATATTTTTATTAAACAATGCAAATTTTACAAATTATACACGTGTGTAAAAATAAAATTCGAACACGTGATTTTTCTCTAAACCTGTTCTACGACTCTCGTCATTCGATGTATAATGACTACTTGACCTTTATTAATTTTCACGCTATAAATGTTCTGTTCTTACGTTAATAATTAGTTAACTGTTTTAGTTTACTACTGATTCTAAAATATATCACTGCATATAAAATATGATATAACAGAGTTGTTAGTATATAATATTTTCACCTGTATTGAGTAATGTTATTAGGAAAATTAAATTTTTGCCAATCATTCGAATATAAAAAAAAATCGTAATTTTACGAACGACTGTTTTTAATAAAGAACGAACAATTATTTATTGTGACATCGTTACAAGGTCGGACAGATATTTATAATTAAATTTTAACTTATTTAACTTAAAAAAATGCGCTCTAACTGAAATTAGTAGTGTCTTTTCTCTATACATAATACTTTTTTTTAACAATAGAGTCGTCCGGTTATCCGTCTAACAATTTTCAGAAAAAAATTTTGAATTGGAATGACTTGACTTCTTGTTCGTGTCGAATGTTTGCATAGAGTTAATTAATCCGGGCTGTCCTCCCATGAGGTATCGTCTCGGAGTTCACTTTCTTAACACCTCTCTCGTGACTTACGAAAGATGGCGGACAGACCGACGACATAATTCTTTGACGTTGCAGCTCAATTAACCGATCGATATTGACTTTATTTTGTGCATGCACCCTGCTTAAATCATGTCAAAAATTATTCAGTATTTCTTTAAAAAGTATTTTTCATATTTAATTTGTTTTTTTTGTATCTTAATCTACGTTATTAGCCAACATTGAAATAAAAATACATATAAATGTATGTGATATTAAATTATTTAAAGAATAAAATCGACATTAAATTACGTAAATTCAGAAAAATAAATTTAAAAAATGTATAGAATTTTTTAGTAATTGAGAATTTTTCATTAAATTTACAGAATTATTCTTTCTCAAATAATAATATTCTGAATAATTTTAAAATGTTTGTAGACAGACATTAATTCATTTGATTTTATCTACTGGTATAGGGGAGATCGGGGCAACTTCGGCATGCGGGGCAAGTTTGTCAAGCGCTTTTTTTAAAAAACAAATTAAAAGGAGACTTTGGTTATAGGTTAGGCAGTTGAGTTTTATTGGTGGCTTGTTGAGTGTAGTGTTTTTATTGTTCTCCAACAAGCGTAGTTGAATTATCAAGCAAATTTTCATTTTCGTTCAATTCCATATAATATTTTTTTTCCATTTATATTGAATTGGCAGGTTTTGTTATAATTCCATGATAACGAAAGTTACTTTTCCTGTTAGAAGGATGTAACTTCAACTTATTCACGTGGCCAGATCGTGGCTTGGCATTCTGTTCTCAGGGTTGTACTTAATGTTTCGAAATCATGACTAGCGGGGTAAGATCGGCAACATAAAGCCACATTAGAAGCAAAGGATAAAAATCAAACAGATGATAAATGAAAACATGTTTGCATTTGTTATTCATGTATATATGTCTTTGAACTTGCATTTCGTTGTAATAATATTAAATGGGTGTTGGATTTGTATTTCTTTGTTTTAATAGTGAATTCCAACTTATACATTGTTAATAACATAATTTTATATACGTGCCTATCTTGCCCCATTACTGTTGCCCCTATACCAGGGGCAACTTTAATAAAAATAATTAAAATAATTACAACTTTACAAAAAGAGAGAAGTTGCCGATCTTGCCCCTATACCCGGGGCAACTTCGTCAATTTCTCTCTTCTTGTAAAGTTGTAATTATTTTAATTATTTTTATTTCCAAACTGATTTTAACCAGTTCTATAGTAAGGTAACATTCCAATAGACAATATGCAAAGCTTTTTTTTTCAGTTTAGAGCAGTATTTATTACACAAAATTTAAGTAAAGCTTAACATGCCGATCTTTCCCCGATCTCCCCTAATAAATATTTCTATTATGAAAAGCTTGAAAATTTGAAATAAGAAATAAAAACGTGCTCAAACAAACGATAAAATTAGTAAAAATTTTTCTATATTAATTAAAGCTTTTTATTTATTATCAATCTGACACGTGAAACAAATTCGTGAAGAGAATATTAAATCAAGCATTCACTTTGTGCTTGCAGCAATGCATGTACAGACTGTAACGAAACTCTAAACACACCTTTATTTATTTAATTATTTAAATTTAATTTATTACTTAACAATAAAAGTTTTATAAGATGACTTTATATAATAAATTATTTATTTATACGACGTTTTATAATAAAGATAAAATAATTACATCATTTATACAATCTTTTTTTAGATTTTGACTGTAAAAAAATTATAAACACGTTATTAATAAATGACAATAAGGACAGTCAGACAAACAGACCGATTTATTCCTTCTTGCTTAAAACTGTTCACGATTCCGATTAACATCTCGAAAGTCCATTCTTTAATGAATTACGTAGTTTCTACGAAAATTCCTAAGAGCTAGAGCGCTTTTCTGACTTCACACAACGTAGAGGCCATATTTGTCTTTGACAGAATTTAGCTACACTTTCTTATCATCCCTACTTTACGCATCCCTTACTATATTTTCAATAATTATCATTTGATAATTGTTCGTTATAAAATATAAAGTACGATATATATATATAGCATTTTATGTGGTGCGTAATCGAATGTGATTTAATTCTTTTCTTTGTAATGCAATAGTTTAATGTTTGATCACTTACCTAATCACAGGTTAATGCTGTAATATGCAGGCAATGTCTTTATAATTATAGAATGTTATAGAACGTAACCTACCCTAAGAATAAACGTTACGCGGGCAAAGTAATAATCTGAATAATAATAAAAATACATTATATTCGTGAATTGAGAGAATAAATTACAATAGAGAAGCGATAAAAATTACAGAAAAAAATTTATTTTATTATAATTATTTTACTTACTTTTCTGTTAATGGTTCCCTCTACATGTGTTTAAATCATGTATGTGAAATACTACAGCATCAATTTGCAATTATTATTGGAAGAAAATAGGCAGTTATCCAATGAATTTATCGATAAAATTTTATAAGATACTTATTATTTATTACATCAGTATATTTCGTGTTTAGTTTTGAATAAGATTTTAATACGTTCATGAATAGAATAACAATTAGATCAAATTGACAAGAACTTTCATAAAAAGTCGAATTATAATAAATAGCTATAAATCTTTCCTTATAAACACGTCATTCTGTTTATTATCTGTGTGTAAATAATTACATCGTTATATGAATACATAATTAACACGTTTCTTTCTCATTATTAACCTATTATTTTATATTTTCATTTTCTTACTTTTACATAATAATTCAATACTTCACTATTAAAACCGTTTTGTTGTTATAGCAATTTATATATTTACAAACGTTACTGCTATTGTACAATTCGAAGAAATAAAGAACAAATATATGATTTTCTTTTAAATGTTTATTCTAACTCATAACAATTAATTTATTAATATCTCATAACAGTTAACGTGGATTGTTTTAGTTAATTTTGCAGTCAATTACTGACCTTCAGTGTGTCTTTGCCTTTTCTTAATCTCGAGAAATGTGCTTGATAAATAAAACTTGACGACAAATATAAAAATTTTGAGGGCAGGAATCTTCGTTTGACTGTATAAGAACTTTCAAGGCAAACCCAAAGTTACGTTCTTATAATTCAAAACTTTCTTCCTGAAATGTGTTAGATAGATTAGACCGGTAAGGCACTTTTGTTGTAGGAAAAGTATGTATAGGGACAAAACACTACTAATTTCAGGCAAAAACAATATATTTGAAATGAAATGAATTAAAAATATGATTTAAAATTGCAGCTTAGCATTGCTTGTTATACAAAGAAGTTACTAATGAATTAGAATTTCTTATAAATAATTTTAAAAAGTACTTATTTTGCAGCCATTCAGTTACTTAAATGAAAATATTTCTCATAATTATTTCTTTAGAAATTATAAATATGCAGCGTTTTTTTTCAAAAATAAATATTTTATTGTAAAAAATTATTTAAAAATTAAAAATTTTTATTACTATCCGAAAATAATAAAGGCGTTTAAACTAACTGAAACTATAGAAAACTTTATAAATGTACTGTACAGTACTTTACTGACAATATCACGTGTGAAATACAAGTCAATAATCTAAACTCAGAAAATTCTTATTAAAATCTGTTGAATTTTTTCAATTATAATATTATATAAAATGATATTCTGTACTTTGTAAAAGTTCGTAGAACTTATAAGTTGTAATATGGAAGCAATTCAATGCTCTGATTATTTGAATAAAAGTTGTTTTATAATAGTTTAAGCAGCAAGGACTTGGCTTCTGCTAAATTTATAATGCAAAAAATAAATTAGTTGTTTCGAAGGTCGCAAGGAACGTTGACAACCAGTTTGACATAACGTGAATGAATTTACGCAAAAATAGAAAACGAGGTAAACTCTTACACTTAACCTAAATTACAGAATAAAAAAGGAAACGCTTCTGGATAATTGGTGTGATTTCTGATTATATTAAGTTAACATACACTATTCTATTTATTAATATATTAAATGTAGGGGGAGGGCAAGATGGAGGGGTGGGCAAGATGGAAATTACTTACCCACCCCGAACGGCGCGACGAAGCACCCGAAATTCCATGCACACAGAGACACCCGGAAATCTTGTATTTACGAACCGCGACTCAGACCGGTTGGTGCCATCAAGTGACCTGTTCAAGTATTTTTTATTTCGCAGCAGATTATTACGCAATCATTGTATTATTTCGCAGCAGATTATTACGCAATCCTATGTATTCCATCTTGCCTTCAGGGTGACGGCAAGATGGAATTTTTGACGTTTTTACTTCATGATTCCTAACAGATTTTATACTTAATATATTAATTATTTTTAATTACACAATTTTTTTAACTAATAAGATGTGGACAAGTTTATAATTCCCGTACATAATCTTAATCATTCCAGCATCATCAAATTTTTAAATATCGAAATAAGAAAACAGTATGTTGCTTTAACACATATTAAATTCTTGAATCTCTATAACATCAATTATATCAAATGTTTAATTTAAACAAAGTTAGCTTTTTATCCTCTAAGATTTCGAAAGTAGAGTTTTCAGTCATCTTAATTTTCGTAAACATTTCAGATACGGAATTTTTTCTTGTGTTTTTTACTAACTTATTTTTTACGAATTTTTTACATTTGTTTTCATACAATACTTAAAGCATTTTACAGCGTCAAATGAAATCATATGTAAGAAATGATAGCGTAAAGAGCCTTCCAAATCTGATATTATAGTCGCACGTATCAGGCAACATAAAGTTTTAAAAAATACTAAAAGTTGTCATGAATACGATATATAATAAATGGTCTCGAATTAGAAGATTATTATTGTATTTTTTTACCATCCCAGCAGTTATATAACTGGGAAAGTATTTCGATCGGTGAAAAAATGACTTCCTAAGAATTTTACATTTCTGATCTGAGGACATTCAAAGGTCCAAAAATTAAAGCAATTCGGATACTTTCTTATATGTTTTGCTCGATTTGAAACTGAATAATTCTTGCTATTCTCGAGAAATTTATGAAATTTTTCAGGGAGGTTAGTGTATTACGGAAAAATTTCTAGAAATTTTCAAGAAAATCAGACCATTGGAACGGCAGATATGGCTTAATTAATATCTCTCTGAACCAATCTGACGATTGAAATGTAGTGATAACAACTAGTAGAGAAGACAACATATTAATTATGTCTAGCAACAATGTCCCTAACTTCTTAGGTTATTTTTTTATAATAATTAATTGTTCATATTTTTTATCGTTTCATTCATCTTCATTGCATGTAATTTCAACTATTATTTCTCTCAAGCAGTTCTATCGGATTTTTATTTACCAGATAAACATTTATAGATGTTAATCTAAACATATCGTATCGTCAATATCAAGATAAATTGTTTTTATTAAACTTATGTAAACTACTCTCCCCTTTCGTTATAATAATTTCTTAAGCCACGGATTTTTATATATGTACAGTACTATATGAGTAGTTAATATTATGATATGTATTAAAAATTAAGTTATGAGTTTAGTTATTTTGAAACTTTTAGATCAAAGTAAACATTAAAAAATTAACTAACAAATATAATATATTTGACTTAATACGTTCAGATTAATTGGTAACAATGAATGAACAAATTAAGTGGAATCGATCAGAAATTATATATCGTATTATCTTCATTATATAAACATGTAGATCAGTGTTTTTCAAAAAGAACAGAAAGAAACTTAAATACGTAGTTTTTAAAATCACTTACATAGTCTTAATATGGCCCTGGGGGTCGCCAGAATTTTTTAACTTGTAAAGGAGTCGCTTATTCAAGACGGTTGAAAAACACTGATGTCGATGATCCACGAAATAACTGTCAAAATGGTTCCTATTGTGTACCATTGAAAAACACGTTTCATGCAGAAAATACTCATGAATGTATATATATATAACATACGTACCCAGTTTATGTGTACCTATTCAGTTTTTCAAATGTTCCATAAATGATAATAAAACGATAAGTGTTCTTAATTGAGATTAAAAAACATTAAAAATTCTCTAAACACGGAAGAATTCACTTATGTCATGCATACGATGATTACTGAACATTTTGCGAGCACTTTTTCTTTATAATAAGTACTTTAAGAACAGTTCTGGCTTTCAAACTTTTAAGAAACACGTTATATTAGAATACGATCCTAATGTAATCCGTAAGTGTGCGAAGGATTTGCTGTTTAGTGTAACAGCTTTCTCGGATATTGTGATACATATAACAGTGGAAAAGTATGGTGATCGGTGAAGAAACGATCCTTCAAAATGTTTACATTTTTGAGTTTAGAACGCCTTGAAATGTCGAGAAATGCAGAAAAATTCAGAGTTAACTTTTGTATTTGTGGTTATTGGTGTGTGTTTGTGTGTGGGTGGGGGGCACGAATTTATTCAGCTTCATTGAAGTTTCATAACTCTTGAGGTTTTGTCGAAAATGTCCGAAATTTTCAGGAGGGTTCATTTCTTAGGGGGTTGATGAAATTGACAAAGTGAAAAGATAAAGGAGATCGTGTGTATCTCCAGTAGGGTCGAACTTAATAATGATTTTTCTAGTTATTAGCATTAACGATTTTTTATAAAACCCATCAACGTTAATCTTTTTGACATTTTACAAAATTTAAAAATATAAACAGGTTTTTAATAATGAAATATCGTAATAAATAGCGCCACACGCAATTTTAAATGTTGAGGGCAAGTTAAGTAATTTGTTGCTGGATTTTTAATAACATATAATTTTAATAATGTTTAAATTTAAGAAATGTTATAAACGATAATGGTCTAACATAATGTGATAAATAGAGTATAAACTTTCTGAAGTTTTTCAGGAAGGTTGTATTAGGAGGATTGATGCTGTTAAATTTTGGTTGTTAAGGGTGGAGTTTTTGTAGTGATAGAGGGTGTCATGAGTCATATCACAAATACGGTCAGACTTAAAAATTTTTATAAAATTCACATTTTCCCTCGATATTAAACTATTTGTCATTTTATAATAATTAGTAATATAAAAAGTTTTTTAAAACAGAATATTATAACAGATGGAGCTTTACTAAGTATATATGTTTTGGCCGAAAATGTTACGCAACTCGTTGCAGGATTTTCAGCCATGTATTTCATGCTTGCTTTTAGTTGTCAATACTTCAAAAATTTATTATATATTTTTTGTAATTTTTAAATTAATTTTTGTAAATTTTTTATAATATTGTTACGTATCAGAATATCGGCTACGTAAGCAATGTGTGAAGTAAAGCAAAACAACATACATTTATGGCACCATTCCGTAATTCCAAATATATCAGGTTCAAAAAGGACAAGGCATTTAATTGACTCGTAAACTGTATTCTATTTCCACATTTAAAATTTTTCGATCTTTAACAGAATTTAACAGAATACTTTTTCTCTTTATTGAAGTTACGGTTTGTATGGAATCAATTATACACAGTCCTTTACTGTACTAATAAGTATTCACATATCAAATTCTAAATATTTGTGAATCTATAAAATTCATTAAAGTAAACAAACGTGGATAAGTTTTGTTAATTATAACTAAACTTTTGGAAATCCATGTATATAAACAGCGGGCGTATACGTGAATTTTACATAATTTCATGTAATATTCTAACGTTACCATTAAACATATTATTTTCTAACAGTTATTTTAGGATAAAGTATTAATTATTCTTTAAAGACATAATAGTATAGTCCAGATATGTTGACAACATTTTCATCTTGTGGAGAAATGATGACAAAGCACGGCGTTTTATAAACACGGTCAACAATAACCCATTTGGGTTGGCATTGGATTTGGAGCAAGAAAGTGAAAATAATGTTAACTTCCTAGCTGTATCGATCACGTTCAAAGAAGGAGAGATATGGACAGGTATATATCGCAAACCGGTTTAGCTATTCATTATCATTCCAAGGAATTCTACAGATCCTAAGCACATTAAGTTTGCAGCTTTTCGACCATGGAATAAAAGAGCGTACACCCATTGCACGAATATATATGGTACCTATGAAGAATTAAATTACATACGGAGGACAGCGGTACAACAAGGATACAACAGAAGAGAGGTCGAAGTACTTATTAAGAGACTACAGAAACAAAACCGGCAACCTCCCGAAGCTGAACAAAGAAAAAATGTGGTACTTAATTATTTTCCAATTCTAAACAAAATGATTAGGAAGGTTGCCAACAATAATAATCTACGAATAATATATCGGCGCAATCCAACTGTGTACAGATTGTTAAGGAATGATAAGAGGAAGGATTGACGAAATAACATGACAGGGGTATATTTATTCTATACCCCTATAAAAGATAATCGATTTAACTCCGACCTTGTGTATATTGGGGCAACTATGCGAAGCTTATAACAAATGATAAATGAACACAAATACACTATATGTAGGAGCATTGATGATACTGTACTTGCAGCGTCTGCAAAACAACAAGATATCACCGTATTATGGGATCGAGCGGCAATCATTAGATCTACGAGATCTACACAAGCTGTGAGGCATCTTGAAAAAATAGAGATACACGAAGAACATATTACCAGGAAATGCATTAATCACAGGTATGCTGATGGATTATCCACTGCTTGGAAGTTCTTTCATAATAACGCTAGTTACCATATGTATCATCGTGGAAGGCACTGTTATTTTTTTACATTTATTTGTTTGTACTTTTCATTCATTTTGTATTTTTAAAATTTTGAATAACCCACAACCGCATTTCCGATGATGTTTTCAACCGCGGTTTGAGTTTGCTCAATTTTTATAGTACATAAATTCGAATGCTTTGTTTTTTTTTATTACTAGAATAACTGATGAAAACCGCTAAAATCGGTCGAAAACGTTTTTATCGAATTAAACATTTTGCTGGACCGTTAAAAATGTTATTTATATTATTTTTATATTAATTATTCTTACACTAGAGCTTCAATTGCCATATTTCAGTTACTTCGATTGAAATTAAAACGTATACAAGACAACAGTAAATTGTTATCAGTATTTCATAACAAAATATTATTCTGAGGAGTTTAATACACATATTATTCGAAATTTATCGAAATGTTTTTTGTCTGTTTGAGGATTGAAAGAAATCAATTATATTCAAATTCCGATAAAAATGTAAATATCAATGAGATTATTTATCATTCCCAATTTAACAAGAAACCAATTTCAACTTTTTGAAAATGGTATAAATGATGGAAAGAACAACAGGAATAAAGAACAACGCATGAAAAGAAGTTTCTACGACAACAAGAATTACAATTTTTGCAAATGTGGAAAGAAAATATACATTGGAATATAATATCAATATTCCTAATCCCGTAGTCAATGATCCTTGAAGTATTGGAAAACCTATACGATATAGAGAATCTTTTAATTTTTCGTTTGGTGTTGCGCATGGTGATATAACATAAGCATACGTAATATGAGCAGGATAATTCACGCTAAATCCCACACACAGAATAAGGCTCATCATTGATATAATATCCAAGTTGACGCCCCATAAGGACATGTAACCTAAAGTTTCTACCATTGAACAAACCACAGATATTGCAACAATAATTGCGATTAATAAATTCGGTACAAACAATAGAAAAATTGCTGTAATTAGTACAGCAGTAATCCAAAACAACTGTTGAATCATTTGTCCAATGATAATTCCTTGTTCAATCATACCTGACTTAACAGAATGCAGTAGTACAGAAATTTCGGATTCCTCAGCAATTTTCAATAAATCTCTTAATGCATCTTTTTCCGTGTGTGACGAATTCAAATTCTTTCCCATAATAAAAAACCTACTGTATAAGATGTCGGTATTGTTACTGTTAAAAACGACATCATTCGAGAGAGACTGGGCTGCTCGGATATTAAAGAACACATCGCGAAGTCCATCGATAAAGTCTTGCTTGTTTGACATATTGTAGCCTTGTAATGAAAATTTTGCTACCGGACTTTTCTGAAATTCTTTGTAGAATTTCAACCATGACACAGTAAATTCTTCTCCAGCAATATTTGGATGATTCTCGAATTTAGTCAACAGAGTTTCTATCGATTTTTGTACTTTTATATCTGAGTAATCCAACGTTTCATTAATAATTATGTGAAACGGATATGAGTAACGCGTAAAGTACTTGAAATTATTATTAATTGCTTGTGTAATTAGAGAATCTTCTGGAAATAAATTTTCGTACTTAATACCTTCCTCAATGTAAAATGTACCCCAAATTCCAAATGATAAGTTAATGATATAAATTACAATGATAATTATCTTCATCAGAGGATTGGATAATGTATTTCCTAATATATCTCTGAAAAGTACCATTATAAATTCTTTTTCGTTGTTATTATTCTGTTCAGGATATTCATCGCTTTGTTCTGAAATGGAAAAGAATTAAAATTAATATCAAGAATGAAATAATATAAAATCTAAAAGCTTATGTTGAATTAAATATAAACTTTGTTAAAACTTATGTCTACAACACAACGTACTGTACTGTACATGTATGATTTGTGTTACTTAACACTAATATTTTGATTATAAACTATTCTTGCTCAATCTTCATATCATATATTACGTTATAGTTTTAGCCATCACAAGCATCGTGGATAAAATTATTCAGCCCGGATAGTTGGTTTCTGTCTGCCGCCTAATTAACTTTTAACTTGTTAGCTCTCTAGAATTTTCTTGGTTCTCATCATGTGTCTGAACGAAAATAGTAGCTAGTTTCCTCTATAAAAACTTGTTGGCTATTCTTCCATTTGTTGTATTGCCATAGCCTTCAAACCAAACCTTTAAATTTTCTTAAAGTGATACTGTAAGAGAATATACATGTATTTTTTCAGAAAGAATGTATCAGGCGTTGTCAAATTTGATCATGTTTGGTTTTTAACTCTAATAACTCTATTTAACTCTTTAACTCTAAAAAGTTTTCCATAAGATTATATATTCGTCAGGACTCATAGTAGTGTGTTGATAAAGACAAATTTTGATATATCAGAAGCAGTTGGCTTACGAAACGATTTCAATTTGTTATCAAGAGTAATAAAACACTCCGTGTTGACTCCATAAACTATTCTGTCTGCAGAATATCAATCGATTTCTGCAGTGAAATAAAGGTTAGAATTTCACAAACGAGACATTTCCAGGCTTAAAGAAATACACCCCACAATCTCTCGAAATAAGATTTGCAGCCGTATATTTACCCAGAGACTGCAGTGTAAATTGTGATGTCTCGTAAAGTTAACTAACGGTGTTACTTGACTTTGGACTCATTAAGAAAACATAAAATATGTTCTTGTAGGTATTCTTCATGAAATCGTCTACGACAACCGTGTATTTACTCTACAATGGAATTTCATTTCCCTGCTGTAAGATCTCATATTGTTTAAATGAGTGGCGGCGCTGTTGTTGCCGCAGTTCGCCATGTTGTTTTCTGTTGTTTGTTCTTATCGCCATAAGTTAAAGTTGGTAAGCATCAAATATTAAATTATTCATTAATTAGTTGCGTTATATTCGTTTATTAATTCATAACGTTGTCACTCGACGCCGATCCAAACCTTATATTGCAACCTTTTCTAATCATTATTCAGCCTCCAATCGTTTTAGTGTTTTCTTTCTTTTTGAGAGTGCACATGTGTAAAGCATAGCGAAAATTTTCTCATAGAACCGAAAGCTTTTTTTAATTACTGGTAACAAGTAATTCATGTTCTCAGCTAGGTGTATATGTATAATAATTACCCTAATTATCAACTTTGTGTTTTCTCATAAGAAAATTTCAATTTAAATAAATGATTTCCGATAAAATTGGAAATACTACAAAAATATCTTTTTATTTGTTTTATTCAATGAACGAATTTCAGCTTGCATATTAATTTTAAACACTAGTTTACACTCAAAAGATGAATGCAGGTTTAAATATAAATTTAATATTTGATTTTATACGTTTCTGTAAAATAAAATATTATAACAAAAAATATTTGATGTGTGCTTGAGAAAACCCAGTGAATTATAACAGAATTTCATGTCAAGCGATACCAAACATAAATTTTCGATAAAGTAATAGGACTGATTTACAATTATATATACTGTAAATATTACATTTTCTGAGATCACCAAAAATTTATAAATTATAAAATATAATCATTCGTTAAAAATTAATGCTAACTTACCACATCTAACAAATTTTCCGGAACGAACATTTTTAGCTTCTCTATATCCACTCAACGCCAATAATCCTCCGAAAAACGTTATCTGATATATAAAATTGAACATTATACAAGTAGCAGTATAATAACTGAATATTCGGATGAAGGGAAAAGGAGCCATCATCCCAATGCAATACGAAATAAAATTAGTAAGTGAAGTCAACGTGATGGTAATTCCTGCTTCGCCATACGTTACTTCCATGCGTTTTTGAACTGAATGTTTGGAATCAGTGATCCTCCAACATGCTATTATTACGAAAGCATCGTCTATTTCGGTCACTAAAATAAATATGAAATTCTTATTAAACATACCACACTATCTTTAAAGTATTTTTGACGCAACAATGATTTTCTTACCAAGCACTAAAAATGGAATGGTAACATTCCAGTAAGTACTTTCTACACCCGATGCAGCCATCAATCCAAAAGATGAGACAACGGCCAAACCAGCGTTGATTACACTCGCTAAACCAAGAAGAGGTTTACTTCTCATCCAGCTATTACTCATGTTAAGAAATATCGAAAATACAATCATAATTGCGACTAAACCTCCTATTTTTGGTTTTATTTTTTCAAATTCACTTTCAAATCCTCTTTCTATAGCTAATGGAGAACTTGGAACTACTTTGACATTTATAAAATGATATCTCTGAATCATCTCATAAACACGAGTTGACCATTTTTTGAACAGTTCCATTTTTACTTTATTTTTGTCATCAGTTACATAAATAAGCGCAATGGCATTTACTTCTTTTACGAAGTTGTGATAATCCTCTGTAACTCCTCCTAAATTTAAAAAGTAGGCTCTGTAGGTAAAAGACAACAAATCTACATCTACAGGATACTTCAGCTTCTTTCTCTTTTGTAGTAAGAAATCTATTCCCACTTCTGATATCACTTCAATAATAGGATTTTCAAAGCATTTTTTGTGCATATTTGTGCAGACATCTGAATATTTTATTAGCTTTCCATCAATTTCTAACGTTGTATTTTGTATGATTTCATCGACCAATTTCACTTCTGAAAGAACGTTTTTTGTAAACATGTTTCCTTCATCTCGTTTCGAGATTTGTATTATCAGACAATTGGGTAAATGAGGAATTCTTATTTGATCAGAAAATTGAGATGAGTTATATAAAAAGGTATTTTCTACATATTTCTTAGTGTTAAAAAATTGTCCTTTATCCGGATTTGTTATATCATTAAATGTCTCACTTGGTGTTAATCTTCTGATAAAAATGGATAAAGTAACAGAAAGTATCATTGGTAAGATAATAAAGCAATATGGATGTTGTCCAACTTTCTTTCCGAGATTTTTAAAAATGTAGCAACATGTTTTTCTTATGCAATCAAGGTTCATTCTGCAGTTTCAGAATATTCGTTGATTATTTTTCAGGTTATCTGAAAAATACATAAATGTATATTTTATATTCAAAATAATTTGAAAAATCTTGTAAGTGTACTGAAATAACTTTTGGAAGATTTTAAATACAGTAGAGCGTCGATTACGCGAAAGTCAATTATCCGAAACTTTAATTATCCGAAAGAATTTCAGTCGGCAAATTTGAATTTTCGCCAGTGCTTTGGCGCTGCAATCTTTGGCTATGTCTTGGGCTACACAAATATTTTTCGTTTTTGATACTAAATTAACTTCTGAAGTATAATTTTTTGTTGTTTTTATATTTTTCTATATATTTATTTTGTTTGTACAAAACAAAGAAGTAATTTTTTACGATACAATAGTCACGATTATTATTTTAAAAAGTTTACGTTAGGCTTAACATCGAGGAAAATTCAACGCAAAGCGATATGCAACAGACAAAAATTTCAACATGGGATAGGTTAATATATGCTTTGTACATAATCGGTTATCCGAAATGTCGATTTTCCGAACAACTCCTGTCCCCAATTGATTCGGATAATCGACGCTCTATTGTATTTTCAATTATTAAATAAAAACTTAGTTCTATACTTTGGATGAAATCGTTTAATTTCATGGTTAAAAGTAAGAATATTGTGAGAAATAAACTTTAGTATAATCATAATAAAAAAACCAATCTGGTGTTACGTTTACCACTAAAGAGAAACGTTATTGAGGAATGTTCGAAATGCATTTAAAAGTAATAATAAAATAAACAGAAAAAACATAGAAGGTTTTCTTCCATCCACGCTACAAGTTTAATAAATAATGAGAAGGAAAAATATTTAAATAGGCAAAAGAGATTTTATAAAGAGGAACAGAACACCAGGTTTAAAATTTGTTGATTTTATAATCTATATATACAATCGAGATGGGTTGATAACAACAATAATAATAATAATGAGCGAAGAGCCCAGGGTTAGGAGTTGAAACTTGAAATTTGGTACACATTTAGGGTACGTCACGAGAACGCATACTAAGAAGGGATTTTTCGAAATTTCTCCCCACGGGGGAGAGAGACAGGATTAAGGAGTCTAGAGCAGTGGTTCTCAATCTTCCGGAGGTGGTCCTCACCTTTCTCCGGAACTATAGCATGATTGGTTTTAAAGCAAAGAAAAATAGAAAGAAGTGACGGAATTAAAATTTTGTTTAGAACTTTGTTTTTCGAAAATAGACTCTCGTTATTTGTACTTGATGCTGCATTCATCCTCCTGAAAGGCTCAATCCTGGACTTCAGAGTGACTCTTACCCCGCGCCTTAATTATTTGTTTTCTTTTTTTTTTACTAACTCGGCAGTGTTCCGACAAAACACACCAGCTGGCAGGAACCTACAATAAACTTGCGTAATCTAAATTTTTGACAGCCCCTCCCCAACACTTTAAATTTTCAATATCAAAACTTTCTTGTACAGTGGGTGATCGGTTAACGAACATAATCCGTTCCAAGTCTTTGTTCGCTATCCGAATTGTTCGTTATCCGATTATTGATTTACCATAGGTTTTAATGGGAATTTAATTAATTCGTTCTGGAGACCCCAAAATAAAAAATATATACTTTCTTGATACGTTTATTTATAGGCCTATGTAATAATAAAAATACATACGTACTGTACAGTCTTGCGTTTTTATTAGTCATAATTTTTTCATTTGAAAGGATTAAAGAATCTGTCTAATGCCGATTGCTTTTCTCTCTTCTTCGGAATTTTTAGTAAGTAATTAATAGCATTGCAATTGTAGAAATCCCCAAACCTCAACCTGGTTTGGATGCCATTCTAAGACCGTTGTTCTGACATCCTCTCACTTCTTCATAACATTTTTAATTAATAGCAGATATCGGCATTAATCCTCTTTTTTCAAAAGAAAACATATCTTGCCAAGTTTATTGGTGTTCTTCATTCAAGAGATCTTGTCGTTCTTCTGTCGTCAGATCCGTTTCGGGTTCCATTATGTTACAAACTCTGCAATTTATACCTTCGCATTCATCATCAAATTTATTTTTAAAGCGAATACCAGAAAAGAATAATTCAGGATCCAGATCATATTCCAAATTCCAAATAACTCAACTATAGAAAAATAAATTCGACTACAACGATTACGTCCAACCAATAGTAAAATCACAATGGTTGACTACAATGTATTAAATGGTCGCCATATAATTAATGTATTACGATGTCTTTTCCAATTAAATCTTTTCTTATTTACTTTTATTAGAAAATGAATAAATATTTAATAAAATATTTAATAAATACTAACCATACCCAATATACACAATACTAATTTAATAAACTAACAACTATTATTAATAATGTTAAAGTTTCGTTCTTTCATTGTCTTTCCTTTATAACACACATAAACATAAAACGATTTTAAATAGTTTTAAACAATTAAAAATAAAATTTATAATGACTGCCGATTCCTACTCAGAAAAATCATCATTAAATAATACGAAGCGATTTTATCTGTATTGTTCTTTTGTTCGTCGTTTTACCATTTTTTCCGAGTAATCGATCAACTACATCATAATATATATGAAAATCAATTTAGTGCATAATTACACGCTGGTTTTGATTGAATTTTTCATTTATCGTTATATAAATTTAATTACTCGTATAATACGTATTTCATATTGTTCTAGTAAGTACACGAAACAACAGAAAGGAAATAGCGCAGTAAATGTAGACATATCACGCTTGCCTACATAAGTAATTTTAGATATTACGGCAAAGCAAAATTATATACTGTAATTTATTCTTGATATGTCGATAGTATAACAGATACTCATGTATACATGCTGTTGATATTCGTGCATGATTTATTTATTTTCTCAATTCGCAGCGAGTAAAATAGCATTGCAAAGCGATATTAGCAGTGTTTTTTACTTTCAAAACTAGGTTAAGAACATTCGATGCTTCGGGCACTCAGTAAATACTTTTTTTATTATTATAGTCACGAATTTGTTGTCTTGTGTCAAATAATATAAAAAACTTAAGCATATAAAATTGTTTAATAGTATTACTTATTTTTACTTGAAAAATTTTAACTATTTTATTGTGCACTTTAAATTCAGAGATGATCAATTTACAGTTTTTATATTGTCCGATATGGAAAATATTTTTGGCTCTTTCTAGGCCGTAAATAAAAATTCTATATTAATTAACAGTTTTCTCGAAACTTAACAATTGTAAAATATAAATTAATTATTTTTTAAAATTTTTTACATATCCTACTTATAAAAAACAAAATCAAATTTCCAGGAAGCTTTTTTTATTTTGAAACACTGACGAGCAATTATATATTGTGGCATCGTCATATCGTCACGATGCCGAACTGCAATTTACAATCATATTTTTAATTTATTTAATTTAAAATATATACTCTCCACCTCAAATTAGTAGTGGCTTGCCTTTGTACATCATACTTTTCCTTTAACAATAGAGTCATGCCGGTCGTCTGCCTAACTTCTGGGTGCGTATCGGACTTTTCTATATACAGGTAACCCCCGTATAACACTGGAGTTATGTTCCAAAAAATTGCCGTGAAATTTATACGAAACAAAGAACTGGTGCGAAAGGAGGGGGTTAAATTCCAAAAATTAAAAAAAAAAACATGCTGTTAAATCCTTATTTAAATCGAATTTATTATTCATTTTTTCAAAGGTAAAATAAGTAAATATTTTACCAGAGGATTATTCATCCTATATGATGCTCATGCTTTTATTACATTTCATGTTACCCAATTCACGAACCGTGTTAGAGTGAACCCGTGCTATAGAAGTGCCGTGTAATACGAGGGTTACCTGTAGTTAATCGGGGCATGCTCTTGCTACTAAAGATTCCATATCTGAATTTTACTTATTTTACATAGTTATCTGGATCAGTGGTTCTTAACCAGTGTCCCGCGGTACACTGGTACAAGTGGTTAAGAACTAATTGTGTTCCGCGAACCTACCTCCAGTGCTCTACGAATGAAAAGATTTTAAAGTTATTATATGAATTTATTCCCATTGCTATATTCGTAGATAATTCCATGTTTTTATTTTATTCAGTATATTAAAACTTATTAGCTTATTGCTTCATTGTTTACCGAGAATTGTAAACATGGAATTACTTATCAATTTTTGAATATATTGATGCTTATTCTCCGTGTAATAAAAAGTATATGAATGGTGTTCCGCGACCTCAAAATGATTGAGAACCACTGCTCTAGATTAAGAAAAGACAGGCGGACGAACAAACGATAGCAGGAATTTATAGGTATATAATATAACAAAAGACATTAAAGTTTGTTACATTATTACATTAGCAATCGTTTTCTTTCTTTTTTTAATCTTATCTTCGAAACCGGACATATAAAAAAATGATTTTAAAAAACTTCTTCAACAATTACGTTTATGTAGTCGAATGAGAGAAAGAAATTTAATTTTCCTTCAAACATTACTTATTACAAGAGAAAATATTATATATTAACGCTTCTGTATTATCATATGTAATTATATTTTATTTACAAACATATTAGTAAAAACATTAGTTAATCAAAACAGTTTAACAAGTTATAAACATAAGAAGAGAATACGTAAAGCGTGAAATGAATATAAATTAATGGAGATTATATTGCAATTATATATGAAATAACGCGACTGGAAGAACAGGTTTAGAAAAAATTTCATGTTTCATGATTGCTTCTGGCGAAATTTTATTTGTAAAACCTATAATACAGTCGACCCCCCCTATAAGATCATTGATTTTTCCGTTTTATCTGAATTACATGTTGTACGAGTCACTTAGATTTTACAAATATGTGAGCCATTCACAGTCCGGCACACGTATTTGTAAAATCTAAGTGACTCGTACAACATGTAATTCAGATAAAACGGAAAAATCAATGATCTTATAGGGGGATCGACTGTATTTGGGTCCTTTAATAAAATTATTCGCTTTTCATTTTATAAAAACAATGATACCGAAGCTGTTCGTTTTTTAAATAGAAAAACTGACGTCATATTATTAGTTTAATTTTTAGTTAAGAAAACGAAGTCGAATGTAGGTGAAATCTCGATTATGACAGTAAAAGAATAAACCCAGCATATCCTTTGCATAGCAATGGACAGAGTTGAAATGCCTTCTGGCACTTATATCCTGTTACTTACTTTAAAAAAAGGTGCAAAATATAAAATGTGTCGATTATATTCTTTACGGCTGTTCTAAGAGGAAGCCAAGAAGCCGAAAAAAACACCATTAAGATATTTATAATAGAGTTTGCGATCACAGTATTTGATTCTTTCATGTAAACTGGAAAGACCTAGTGTAAACCATGCAACGTATGGAATGTTAGTAAACAGTAAATTACTTAGTTTATTTAATAATAAATATATCTTATCGAGTTTTCTTAAAACTTTATTGAGAGGAGATGGATATATTATAGACCAATGCAGGTAATCATCAACCATACATTATAAATTCGCAAAAAAAAAGAAACCTTTTATACTTCCTTAAAGAAACTAACAAGTACGGTATCATTGTTTAAAGAAAAAAAAAACACCGAAACGTTTAGTTAATTTAAATTATTTATTACGGCCTAGAAAGAGCGAAAAATTATTAATTTTTTGAACTGAAAATTCATAAAAACATTGACTTGTTTTATACTGACTACTCCCAGTAAAACTGATAAAGTACTATAAAGTATTCAATATTTTTTTAAATAAATAAATACCATATTTAAATTTTTTCTGCCTTACGCTGTTATTCCTTTCTATTAAACGAATAATAAGTTTTCTTGTTTCTGAAATAAAATGATTTAAGAAAAAAAAAACAATAAATTCTCATATTAGGAATATTAATTAACTTCAAATGTCATTCTGCAGTGTTTATTAATTTTTAATAAAATTTATAAAATTACTTTAATTCAAAAGTTGTATTCAAAACTCCTTTAGGATATTACTAATTTTTGTAAGGAAATGTTAATAAATTTGCTTTCACAGAAACTAAAATACTTTCACTATGAGACAATATAGAAATAGAAAATTGATTATTTTTGAATTTAAAGTGCACAATAAAATATTTAAAATTTTTCCAAGAAAAAATAAGTAATACTATTAAACAATTTTATACGCTTAAGTTTTTTATATTATTTGACACAAGACAATAAATTCGTGACGATAATAATAAATGAAGTATTTACTGTGTGTTTGAAGCATCGAATGTACTTAACTCAGTTTTGAAAGTAAAATAAATACTGCTAATATCGCTTTGCAATGCTATTTTACTCGGTGCGAATTGAGAAAATAAATAAATCGATGGACGAAAATTAACAGCAAGTAGTTGAGTATCTGTTATACTATCGATATGTCAAGTATATAATACAAGAAAGTGTTGATATTGAAATTTTAAAGTATAACGATGAGGCCGCCTTTAATAAAATGAAAAAAAAAATGATTTTTCGGGCTTGCAATTATAAAAAACTATGCTTTTTCGTAGTGTATTTTAGTAGTTAAATCATAAAATTATCAGGTAATAAAATTATCATCGTATATAGCATTTGTTAACTCTGTACAATAATCAATTTCAAATTTAAAATTGATAGGGAACCAATTCTAATCAACAACATGTCCAGTGAGACTTTCTTCTTTTGCGATGGTCTTTATTTAGAAGGAAGTTACTGTAAATTTTTCTCTGTAATTCATTAATTAAACACTGCTAAAAGGAAAAGAATAGCTTTCTACGTTAACTTCTGTACACCTATTAATTTAAATGTTTCAATTACTTTTCTGATTATATGGTAAGGAAAAGGATATAAATAGTGTTATGAGCTCTCGACAACTTTCTACTTTTTCAGAAATGGTTCTAATTATCTTACTACATAATTCTCCTAAAGACAGAAATGTAATGTGAGAAAAGCGATAACAATAGACTTTAAGAAACTGAGAGTTTAAATTAGAACAGAATAGCGTTAGAAATTACAGCATCAATTAAATTATATTAATATTTTACTTACCTTTCTGGTAATGAACTATTCCTACATACAAAACTAATGTAGGCTTTCTGTAATCTAACAGCAACAATTTTCAATTACGAATGCGACAAAATGGACTGTTTCCAGGAATGTAGCAGATTATATTCACTAGTAAACGTATCTTTTATTCATCTTTAGTATATTTTATCTTTTGTTTTGAATAATATTTTTATAATTTTACGAATGGAATAATAATTATGTTAGATTGACAATAAATATTACTCAAAAAATCAGATTATAATCAACATATATAAATCTTTTCTGGTTAATGACGGATATATAATAAAAACGTGTTTTCATTACAAATCTATTATTTTTGTTAATATTTTATAAATTAAGTATTAAAACAGTGTTTTAACTGCAGGAATTTATAAATTAAAAAAACTCGTGAAATTCACAAAAATGAAGATTTATTATTAACATATAAAAATTACTAAATTCTAAAATATTAATTCGTATGATTAATAAACATATTTTAAATCTTTTTATTTAACAGAATTAAAAATATTAAAATTTAAAAAAGTACGTTGTTTTTAAGATCGTAAGGAATATAAAGATTTGTGTGGTATTATTTAAAATTTATAATAGAAAACAAATATAATTTATTCGTGTATACGATTTTCTGTTTCTGCGCTCTTATTACTTGAATGCAGATTGTTTTATAGTAATTTAAGCAGCGAAGGTTGATCGTTGCTGAATTTCGAATTTGAAAAATAACTTATTCTCCTGAAGGTCGTCAAGGAAAGTTGACAGGTATGACATAACGTGAATAAAATTAAGGAAAAATTGAAAAGGTCTCTTGAATATAAATTATAGAAAAAGATAACAAATAATTAGTGAGAAATCGCGTTAGATTAGACTAAAATAATTTATACTATATACCTCTAAGAAACGGTTTATAAACAAATGAACGAATTTGTTTTATCCTTCTAATCCGATTGATAGATGACATACGGAATGATGTCAAATATATAAACAAAGTTAGAGTTACGTGATGAGAAATGATTAATATTGTAATAGATGTACTATTTATACAAAAAATTCAAAGTTTCGCAGAGTACAGTTATGTAAGTTTATTTGTTTTTCAAATTTTACACGTCTTGACTGTAAATTAAAAACACATTTTTATTACTTTTAGACTGATGAGGTATCGGTACAAACTCAGATCTGAAATGCATATAAATGAAAAACACTGTGAACTAAAATTAACTTCTGAGTGGTTCTTGACCTCTAATGAACGTCGGATTGAAAGGAAAGAACAAATTTATTTGCCTATAGACTCCGTTTTGCAAATAACCCGTTTGGTGGTTTGCAAAATAAGTTATTCTATCTGGCGTATATTGCTAGTCTTAGCTTTATATTATAGAATACTTTATTTACATTAAGTAAAGTACAGTTTCTTGAATTTGGTTTTTCGATTATCTTATCGTTTGTATTATCCTCTTATAAATACTTATTTGCTTTTTATGCAAAACAAACGTGCATAAAAATTCTCTACGTATAGAAGATGTTATGCTTTAAATAATTCTGACAAGAAACGTTTACTTTTTCTAAAATAAACATTTTTTTTCAAAGTTATCTAACAGCTTTGAATTTTTAAAATGTTTGTTTTTAATTTTATTCTTTTTAGAGGTATTTTTTAAAGTTTCGAAGACAAAGTCGCTTACAGAAAAAAACGAGTTCCTTAACTTTGCCTGCAACATATGGTTGAGCCATCTGTAATAATATTTAATTTTAAAAACTTTATATATTTTTAACTGTTATAAAATAATAACAATCATAATTTTCAGGATAGGAATGGGCATAATAGAAAAGTTGTAAATCCCAATAACGAGTAAAATCTTCATTAAATCCGGCCCTATTGGAGATACACACGATCTCCTGTATCTCTAATAGGTTCTTTAATGATATCTCTTCATCGCCTTGAGCTTCAATCACCAAAATATAACAGTATTAATTCTCCTAATATCCAAACCTCCCTCAAAATTTCAGAAATTTTCGACAAAAGCAGAGGAGTTATTAAGCTTTAAGGAGAGAACAAATTGGTTCCTCCACACATATACACTAACATCTATACATACAGAAAAAACTAGATTTTTTTGTCTTTATCGACATTCAAGGTGTTTTGAGTCCTAAAATTTAAACATCTTAAGTTATCGTTTATTGACCGATTGCCACACTTTATTTTTCTTACAAATTTTATAATTCAAAATAAATTTAGTATATCTTACTTTTAAGCCAATAATTGTAAGGTATGTACTAATTTACTATTCTATGAAAAATTCTTTCGAATGTTCATTCTACTAAGCTTAATTAACAAACTTTGCAGTCTTCACTTCAAACAAAATATCAATTCAACCTGACTGCACGTCGCACATCCCAATAATCAGAAAAATCTTCCTATCCAACTTGTGAACCAAAAACAAAGTATTATCTCGAGTATTCTAATTTTAGCGGCTGAAGGCTGGAGTCAAAAAACAAAGTCATAGAATAATTCACACCTTATAAGCTGATAGAAACTGATACTCTAGACTTTCAACTGCTTTGTACAAAGTATCGTTTAAAGAAGAGTACCACGCCGAACCTGTAAGACAATAGTAAATTAGTACTTTACTTATAATTGTTAGTTTAAAATAACTTTATATTAAATATATTTGTCATTATAAAATTATGCTATTGACTTAATATATTTTTGGTTTAATTTATATTATAATTAACAGAATAGCTCGAAAAATTGAAATAAAAAATCGAATAAAATAAAGGACAGAAACCTGCCAATAACCAATTTACTCCTTTATATACACTTTCCCTGATTTACTTTTCGAACTCTGCTTATAACCTAAACAGAAAACTTTAAGGCTAATTTCTTATTTTATTGTGTAATTGTCAAATAAGTGTATTATAACATATTAAAAAATTAAAACGTCTGATGAGTGCAACAGTCTCCATATCGGTAAGCAAATTTTCAGCATCCTGAACTGTCAGTTACATAACAGTAAATGGAAGTACAGAACACATACATAGATAAAGCAGAGTGCTTGTTTACTGATTGAAACTCACACTGTATTTAGTTAAAATTCTTTAAGAAAACGATTTTTATACAAAAGTAACGAACGAGAAGACGTTAATGTTTTACTCTTCGTGAAATTACTTAAAAAGAGAAATATCTATGACATACACATAAAACTATTTCCTATAAAATATAACAGCAAACTGATGATTGCTTATTTGAAGATTATTCTTATTTCCCTGATTCACTTTACGAACTCTGCCTATAACCTAAACAGAAAACTTTAAGGCTAAATGTCTTATTTTATCGTGTAACGTGCTAACTTTGACCGATTGACCCGAGATATCTCGTTTCATTATCGGAACGTTTTTGAAACTAGATGGCTCGTCATTATAGGAGATTATGAGAAATTATAAAAAATAAACGATATTTTTTTACCATACAGTTTATTCTTCTCCTTCTTGAGTATAAATTAAATTTTACTATTGGTTATTTCTATTTCACTAACATTTTTAGAATTAAAACTAGTGCCATAATAGTAGCTGTCATANGAAACTTTGGGAAGTTGTTTAATACACTTCCGCGAAGGTTTCTGGCATAGCACATTTATCCTACAAAAAGTGGCGCGGGTGTGTGCGAGAATTTCATCGTGAGCATTTCAGCGTGGTTAGGAGTAGGAACTTGAAATTTGGTGCAGAGTTAGGGTACGTCACGAGAACGCACACTAAGAAGGGATTTTTTGAAATTTACTTCCGCGGGGAAAGAGACAGGATCAAGGCTTTAACAATGGAAGTGTTAAGTAACAATAGATGTATAAGAATGGAAGTGTTAAGTAACAATAGAAGTGTTAAGAATGGAAGTGTTAAGAGAAAGCAACGAAAAAGATTTACAGGCGATTTTCTGTGTTTTCGCGAAAAATTCAACATAATTTTAGACCCATCTAAAATTTTTCTAATTAGCCTGGAAAGAGAGAAACCTAATTCTTGCATTTAGTGAAAACAAGCAAGATTGACTATAATGTAATATTCACATTTTGAACTCTTTAAAAGTATATATATATCAACGCCGGATTTATCTGCTAGTTTATAATACTAGCAGATAAGCCTGGCGTTACTTGAGCAAAAAGTAACAATAGCGAAGATTAATGTAGTTACATTATAGCCAATCTTACCCGTTTTCACAGAATGCAAGAATTAGGTCCCCCGTTTTCAGACTAATTAGAGAATTTTTACACGGGTCTGAAAATATGTTCGATTTCCTGCAAAAAACGCAAAATACCGCATATGCGCATATAAATCTTGCACGCCGCTTTCTCTTAACACTTCCATTGTTAGGAATGCACTTCTTCATTCCCCGTGGTACCCTACTAAAAGTGGTAGCCTACTAAAATGCAGTCAAAAACGCAAAAATCGCATCTAAAATTAGTACAATAGAAGCCGTGTTATTCAGGGTAAGCCTTAACTTCCAGCTTTTATATCTTCAACAGCACGCCCTTCAGTTAAAAACGGGAACCTTTTTGATGGATGGGGGATAGAGGGCTACCACACCATATAACTCCGTTGATCGTACCGGGACTAGTTTTACAGTTTTAGCAGCACGCACATTGTACGCTTACCTTTATAATATATATTGATTGATTAAGATCTCTACTCGCATCTAAATTTTACAAGAGTTGATATCGCGCAAGATAGCTCTAATGACAATTGATTTATGAATAATGCTTTCATAATTTTAGATGTAAACAATTAAATAACTTAAAAAGTTATATTACTAATGTTTTAAAATCAGCTGAATTTTCTCTATTATTATGTACAAATAAGATCAGAGCGATGTTAAAAAAAGAATAAAATTAAATCGTTTATGTAGGACAAGGTTATTTATAATGGCATGATACAAACGAAACTTGTTGAATAATGTCAAAAATGTAAATATAATAGTACACTTTTTATATTATTATTGTTTTATTTTCTTTGTTATACGAATTTAATTCAATATTATAAATACTTTTAATGTTAACGGATAGATATAAATAATACATATTAAGCTAATAA